TGAACCAGCGATGCAGATACGAAAGTGTTTATGGCGAGCAGGGGACAGTCTCACTACCTCCTCCCTCCTCACCCTCCCCATACACCAACACCGCTCCTCCCTCCCTCCTCATCATCTCCCATACGCCACAAGAGTCATCAGTAAAGGTAAAGTGCAGTTAAATGTTCACTTATTTTATTAATGGTTTATATTTATACCTGATTGTTTTGAGTATGAAAAATATGAGTAGTATTCTGTTTAAAATGTATTTTTAAATTAACATTTTTGGGGCTGTGGAATGGATTAATTGAAATTACATTATTTTTTATGGGAAAATTTGTTTTGGTTGCCAAATTTTTGGTTGATGACGCGTCTCTGGGAATGGATTACAATAGAAAATGAAGGTACCACTGTATATTTTATATATATATATACTGTACATATATATATATATATATATATATATATATATATATATATATATATATATATATATATATATATATATATATATATATATATATATATATATATATATATCAAGTGAGGACACACTGTGTGTGTGTGTGTATATATATATATATATATATATATATATATATATATATATATATATATATATATATATATATATATATATATATATATATATATATATATATATATATATTATTAAATATGACCGAAAAAGTAAGATTAATATTTCTAACACGAATTTTCTCGATCTTTCTTACGTTTCTTTTCACTGTTGATGGTAATTCAAAAATCAATTCTCCAAAATTCATTTTTATTTCTAGTCTGACGCGACACTTGAGCGCTTTTCGTAAAACTTATTACATTTTCAAAGACTTTAGTTTACACACACACACAACTTTAACTGAATAGAGCTTAAACATCTTTCGAGTTTTTATACCTACATTTGGATGTAGGTATAAAATGCCAACAGTGACTGCCCAGACAGGTACAAGAGGAGTGTTGTTAATGCTTATGTTGACCGTGCTCTCAGCCACAGCTTAGAATGGAAGCAAGTTGACGAAGAACTCTGTAGGGTAAGGCAGGTCCTAGTCAACAACGGCTTCTCCAATGGTTTCGTAGAAGACATCATAAGAAGGAAAGTGAAATGCCATGCAACCTCTGAAGAGACAACTAACACAACACCTATACCCCCTATTAGACTATTTTACAGGAACTTCTTTTCCACAGCCCATAAAACAGAGGAAAGGGTCCTGAAAGATATTGTTAATAGAAACGTTATCCCTACAGACAAAAATCAGAAGATACAACTGACAATTTACTATGAAACCAAAAAAACAGCCAGCCTACTCATGAGAAACTCTCCAGACACAAAGCAGAATGCTTTAAAAGAGACCAACGTCGTCTATGCCTTGAAATGCCCTCTTGGGGACTGTAAGCCTAAAAAAACTCAGTATATAGGCAAGACAACAACATCTCTTTCCAGGCATTTAACGATGCATAAGCAACAGGGCTCCATTAAGGAACATATAGTCTCTTCCCACAACCAAACCATCACCAGAGAAATCTTAGCAAACAACACGGAAATCATCGATAGATACAGTGATAGCAGGCGGCTCAACGTCTGCGAGGCACTACACATCAAGAAGTCAACACCAGCAATCAACAGCCAATTAATGCACAACTATATTCTACCCACTTCAAGACTCTGCTCCAATATAGAAGCATCAAGAAATATGGGCCAATAAAAATAGGCCTTCTGCAGTTACCTACTTTTAATACCTGTTTGTATTTCATTGTTTCGTGTTCTGTCTTGTGTTAAAAGTTTATTTTCACCTCATCCAAAACTATTGTAACATGTCACTTCACCCAAATGTAGGTATAAAAACTCGAAAGATGTTTAAGCTCTATTCAGTTAAAGTTGTGTGTGTTTGTGTAAACTAAAGTCTTTGAAAATGTAATAAGTTTTACGAAACGCGCTCAAGTGTCGCGTCAGACTAGAAATAAAAATGAATTTTGGAGAATTGATCTTTGAATTACCATCAACAGTGAAAAGAAACGTAAGAAAGACTGAGAAAATTCGTGTTAGAATTATTAATCTTACTTTTTCGGTCATATTTAATAATATAATATATATATATATATATATATATATATATATATATATATATATATATATATATATATATATATATATATATATATATATATATATATATATATATGCGGAAAATCCACAGAGAAATATGAAATGAGGTGAACGTTTCGGCTTGTTAAAGCTTTTGTCAACACCAGACTGACCAGACTAGGGTCAGTCTGGTGTTGACAAAGGCTTTAACAAGCCGAAACGTTCACCTCATTTCGTATTTCTCTGTGGATTTTCCGCATAAAATGATCAGTGTTTTGTGATCGTCAATTGTGTGTGTGTGTGTGTGTGTGTAATTACCTAAGTGTAGTTACAGGATGAGAGGTACGCTCGTGGTGTCCCGTCTTCCCAGCACTCTTTCTCATATAATGCTTTGAAACTACTGATGGTCTTGGCCTCCACCACCTTCTCACCTAACTTGTTCCAACCGTCTACCACTCTGTTTGCGAAAGTGAATTTTCTTATATTTCTTCGACATCTTTGTTTAGCTAGTTTAAATCTATGACCTCTTGTTCTTGAAGTTCCAGGTCTCAGGAAATCTTCCCTATCGATTTTATCAATTCCTGTTACTATTTTGTACGTAGTGATCATATCACGTCTTTTTCTTCTGTCTTCCAGTTTTGGCATATTTAATGCCTCTAACCTCTCCTCGTAGCTCTTGCCCTTCAGTTCTTGGAACCACTTAGTAGCATGTCTTTGCACCTTTTCCAGTTTGTTGATGTGCTTCTTAAGATATGGGCACCACACAACTGCTGCATATTCTAGCTTTGGCCTAACAAAAGTTGTGAACATTTTCTTTAGTATATCGCCATCCATGTATTTAAAAGCAATTCTGAAGTTAGAAAGCGTGGCATAGGCTCCTCGCACAACGTTCTTTATGTGGTCCTCAGGTGATAGTTTTCTATCTAGAACCACCCCTAGATCTCTTTCTTTATCAGAATTCTTTAAAGATTTCTCACATAATATATAGGTTGTGTGGGGTCTATGTTCTCCTATTCCACATTCCATAACATGGCATTTATTAACATTAAATTCCATTTGCCAAGTGTTGCTCCATATACTTATTTTGTCCAGGTCATCTTGAAGGGCATGACAATCATCTAAGTTTCTTATCCTTCCTACTATCTTAGCATCATCAGCAAACATGTGTGTAATTACCTAAGTGTAATTACCTAAGTGTAGTTACAGGATGAGAGCTATGCTCGTGGTGTCCCATCTTCCCAGCACTCTTTGTCATATAGCGCTTTGAAACTACTGACGGTCTTGGCCTCCACCACCTTCTCACTTAACTTGTTCCAACCGTCTACCACTCTGTTTGCGAAAGTGAATTTTCTTATATTTCTTCTGCATCTGTGTTTAGCTAATTTAAATCTATGACCTCTTGTTCTTGAAGTTCCAGGTCTCAGGAAATCTTCCCTGTCGATTTTATTAATTCCTGTTACTATTTTGTGCGTAGTGATCATATCACCTCTTTTTCTTCTGTCTTCTAGTTTTGGCATATTTAATGCCTCTAACCTCTCCTCGTAGCTCTTGCCCTTCAGTTCTGGGAGCCACTTAGTAGCATGTGTTTGCACCTTTTCCAGTTTGTTGATGTGCTTCTTAAGATATGGGCACCACACAACAGCTGCATATTCTAGCTTTGGCCTAACAAAAGTCATGAACAATTTCTTTAGTATATCGCCTTCCATGTATTTAAGCAATTATGAAGTTAGAAAGCGTAGCATAGGCTCCTTGCACAATATTCTTTATGTGGTCCTCAGGTGAAAGTTTTCTATCTAAAACCACCCTAGATCTCTTTCTTTATCAGAATTCTTTAAAGATTTCTCACATAATATATAGGTTGAGTGGGGTCTGTGTGTTACAGGATGAGAGTCTTTTTCTTCTGTCTTCTAGTTTTGGCATATTTAATGCTTGTGTGTGTGTGTATGTGTGTGTGTTGTATCTAGTAGCCAGAACGTCATTCTTGGCCTACTATGCAATGCCCAATTTGCCTAATAAGCCAAGTTTTCCTTAATTTATATATTTTTCTCATTTTTTTCTTATGAAATGATAAATCTGTCCATTTCATTATTTATAAGTTAATTTGTTGAAATTTGAGTTAAAACTAACATAGATATATGACCAAACCTAACCAACCTTACCTAACCTAACCTAACCTATCTAAACCTAACCTAAACTAACACAACTAAGTCAATAATTTATGTTCCTAATATAATATAATAATAATAATTCAAATATACTAATTTGAAACAATTTATTAAAAATAAAGTAAATCACTCGGCCTATTAGGCAAATCAGGCCTTGCATAGTAGGCCAAGAAGTGCATTCTGGCTACTAGGTACGACATATATATATATGAAGATTAGTTGACTTGTTATGCTTCATTACAGTAACATAGTTGTGAAAACCATATGAACATAATCATGATACATATTACGTAATTATAAGGGAATTTTATACATGACAATTATAGTATTGACATAATAACTTTTGCAATGATAATTGCATTTGCATAGTAAGCAACCATGATAGCAGTATTTTTTTCATGAGTCTAGATAAAATCCACTACACCCCTTATAGAACATAATATCTATATTAGCATCAATGGTATAAATCTCACACAATAATAGTTTAAATTAATGAATGATGATAACCACTTTCCAATGATGATAATTGCACTTTCAGGGTTAAGAAATACTGCACAAAGTGCAGAATAAAGTATCAATACAGAAAATATTACTGTATGCATGTAACTAAATTGAAGGAATTATCATTATAGTACAGGTACACTAACAAAGACCAATTCAGTCTGAATCAAAGCTTTTAAACAATGAACTGAAAATTTTTCTAACAGGTATACAAATATCATTAAAGAGCAAAATTTGTCACAATTAATTCTCACCTTCACCAAGGTCATCATCACCATAATCATCATCATAGTTTTGTCCATCATCACGATCATCCATCCCTAGATGTATTTTGGTGTGACTTGCTGTCTCTCCATCTCTGGAAATGTGAAGAAAAGAAATGTGATTGTTTCCTCTGTTAACAAGGAAACAGCTTGTAAGCCTGTAAGTAAATACTGTATTCTGTGGACAGTCTTATGACAACATATGACGAATGGTTTTTGAAACAGGAAAGCTTGAAACATTACCCTTTCTAACAAAAGCAATATCTTATGACTGAATCAATATACAAACAAACATTTATGAATAATTTTTTTATTGATTAACACAATGTTCACGTGACTGAACCAGCACCAGCAGGCAACACATGGACAGAGGAGAAACTAGATGACAAGTGTGAGGGCCTCATAATGGTCAAAAGAGAGATTATAGTAAGAATAGATAAAGATAAATCATGATTTTTGGTACCGGAAGACTTTAATTTGAAAGCAATAGACTGGGAAGCCTACGAAGCAAGAATGGAGGACATTTGGACAGGAAGATTTGTAAACCTCATTCTGGAGACATTCATGTATCAATACATCAAGCAGGCCTCAAGAATGAGGGAAGGGGATGTTCCATCAATACTGGATCTAATATTCATCAGGAAAGAAGAGGAGATAATTGACATTCAATACCTTCCTCCCTTGAAAAGAGTGCTCATGTCCTGTTGGGATTTAAATATGCTTTACAATATAATCTAGAAGAAAATGAGACATTGAAACGGTTGATAAACTTGATTTCAAGAGAGGACATTATTATTTCTTTTATTTAACAATTATTTTTTTTTCTATGGGGAACTTAGCAAATTTTTTTATGAATTGATCTGTAAAGACTTGTTACTAGGTAAGTAAGTAAATGAGATGTATGCAAAATTCTGTGAAATATATTATGAAGGCACAGACAAATTTATACCATTTTTTATTTAGAGACTTAATTTATAAATTTATATTGTTGTAGTCTGCAACTTCAACTTGAAATCCACAGACTGGGAGGCATATGAAGATAGAACAGAGGATTTTTGGATTTGTAGATTCGTAAACCTCATCCTAAAAATATTCATGTTTCAACATGTTAAACAAACTACGAGGATGAGGAAAGGGGATGTTCTCTCCATGCTGGATTTGATAATTACCAGGAAAGAGGAAGAGATATTTGACATTCAGTACCTTCTTCCCTTGGGTAAAAGTGACCATGACTTTTTGGGAATAAAGTATGCAATGCGTTATAATCTGGAATAAAGTATGCAAAAAATGAGGTGATTTGATAAAATGCTATGCCCAAGATTACCATCCGAGTGCCGGCGGGGAAGTGGTTCAAATAGCTTCGGCTATCACTTCCTTAGTCCGGTCGTGATGGTCAAGTGGATTAAGGCGTCCCTGTAAATACCAGTTGCGTTGCTCCTGGCAGTATGGGTTCGAGTCACTTCTGGGGTGTGAGTTTTCAGTTATATATATATATATATATATATATATATATATATATATATATATATATATATATATATATATATATATATATATATTTATATATACAAGAGGTGTACATTCTTATACACCAATAGTACGTGTAGAGTTTCAGGCAAGTCCTTAATCCTATGTTCCCTGGAATACGACCCCCAGTGAAGAATCGTTTTTACAACCTAGTACCCATTTTACTGTTGGGGTAAACAGAGGCTACAGTTAAGGATTTGTGCCAAGTAAATCTTCCCTGGCCAGGATACGAACCCAGGAGAAAGCGCTCGTGGAACGCCAGGCGAGCGTCTTACCACTACGCCACAGAGACCACTAGGTAATTATGATTCACCCCGCTGAACCAAGAAACCATCAATAACCAAAGGACCCTTTCAGAAGACCCACTTGTGCTGTGTCTCCCAGTCTGGACTATCTACTTTGTCCTAGTGCATACCACCTCTCCTTCTTCCAGGTAAGTCCCATTTTTGTTCTTTGACCTTCTGGATGCTTTCCTGTTGTGAACTGACATTCACACTTTGCACCTCTGTGAAGGGAGGTCAGGTTTTGGTTCTAGTCCCCAGTAGGCCAAGCAGAACTCCCACATCTGATGTGACCCATATGCACGGAACATATGGGTCACATCAGATGCAGGAGTTCCCTGACTTTATCTCAGTGAGATAAAATCTGGGAGCCATCAAGGCTCATCTAGAAAGAGGCATTTCATTACATTAAATTCTGTGTTTTACAACAAATATTTTGATAATATGTCTTACCTTAAAGCTATATGATTCAGTGCAGTCTTTTCCTCTGCTTCTAAGCCATCATCCCCTTCCAATTTAATTTTTTCTCTCTCTCCTTCACCTCCATCCCCTCTCTACCCTGAAAAGGATGCAAATACTTTACTGACAAAGGCAAATAATGCAGGTTTGTTTTAAACAGTAGCAAGAAAGTATGAATAGATAAACAATGTTTCTGTACAAAAGGAGAGAGAGAGAGAGAGAGAGAGAGAGAGAGAGAGAGAGAGAGAGAGAGAGAGAGAGAGAGGGAGGGAGGGGGAGGAGAGGAGAGAGAGAGAGAGAGAGAGAGAGAGAGAGAGAGAGAGAGAGAGAGAGAGAGAGAGAGAGAGAGAGAGAGAGAGAGAGAGAGAGAGAGAGAGAGAGAGAGAGAGAGAGAGAGAGAGAGAGAGAGAGAGAGAGAGAGAGAGAGAGAGAGAGAGAGAGAGAGAGAGAGAGAGAGAGAGAGAGAGAGAGAGAGAGAGAGAGAATACTGTCTGCCAACATCAGCGGCAATGTGGCAATCTTACACATTTTTATGAACACTCATCGTCCTGATGTGTTGTGCTAGAAACATTTCAAGACGACAGGACTCCTGAGAACTTTAATACAATTGCTGGTTATACCTCATGGATGTGCTGAGACAGGCAGGGTCAAGGAGGGAATGTTGTAGTGTGCATCAGCAATTCTGTGCATCCCCATCCCATTGATGAGATCATCCCTGGTCATCTTGAAATTATGTTCTTCAAAAGAACATAATTTTTGTTCATAGTGTAGGGCGTGCTCCCTTCACATTACTCTTCTCATTAGCCCTCCTGATGATACTCATGCTTATCAGACACCAAATGATCTTCATACAAGGGTTTTCTGTGTTACAATGGTCTAGATTATGTGCCTGTTTAGATCCCCCACAGTTGCTCCGTTTGGTTTTTACGGACCTGGATTTGAAGGTGATAGTCAACTCAACCTTGGCTCCATCCACACCACCTCCTTTCCTGTCAGGTATGGTTCGCTCTCCTTCTAGTCCTCCCCTCTCCTTCGGCCCCGAAGTATTTGAGGATTTTGGGTTTGGGGCAGGGTTTAGCTCAGGATGTGGCTTGGGCAGCTTCGGGATTGCCCCTTTTGATTCAGGCGTGGAGGCAGTTGAGCCTCTCAGTCCCACGGAGTGTTTGGGTCTTCTTACCAGCTGGTCCCTTCTTTCAAAGCTTCTTCCCTGGACTCTGCTGGTCTTTCTTGGGCAGTGGACACTGACGATGGCACTACCCTGGAACCCTTGTCTGCAGTTTCTGGGGCTTGGGGGAGTCAGAAATGGATCCCAAGGGTCCCCTTTGATCATTCGTGGTTCCTAGTGTCTTCCACCTAGGGTCTTCAGTTGCATGGTGACCCGTGTTTTTGTACCCTTCACTTCCTGTATGAGATGGATTTGGGTGCAGCTTCCCCCTAAGGCTTATTTCCAGTTGACTTTGGGTACACTGGAGGCATCTTTCCAGAGGTTTCCCTCCTCGCAGGTTCCCCCTTTGGAGGTTTGCGAGGGGTTTTCCAAGGGGAGCCCCTACGGCTCCCTGGAGCTTATCGGGCTAATGTGTTTATATATTAGACAGGAACATTAGCCATGGAGTTCGGACCTACCAGGGACCATGAGCCAGAACCTGGGCCCTTTAGAGAGGTTTCAGGGAGCAATGGCCCTGAAAAACTCTTCTGTGGTTGGGGGTTTTCCTTATCTCCCATCAGCCGGGGTTAGGCACCCAGAAAGATTGACATAACAAAACAAACCCCAAATGGTAAAACACTAAAAACAAAAAAACTGAACAGAGAGGTAGAACTCTTCAATCCCAAGGAAACAAGCAAACAAGCAAACGTCACACTCTACTGCTGCGCCGCTCGTCCGCGCAGCCCTTCCCTCCCCCCAGAGGGGGAGGGGGGCCTGAACCTCACCGTGCCAGTTGCATAGCACTCCAGTACGTAAGCTAATGTTAACCGGAACAGCCGCTTCTCTGGCCTCAAATTCCGGGGCAGTGTTTGCCTGTGTGGCATTCTCTGCTGTATTATTGTGCAGTGTGGTGGCCAGGGGTACCTCTTTAGTACTGGGGCTGCATGCGCTTAGGATGCAACATGTTGGTTACCGAAAAGTTGTTCAATGTCAACCAATATTTTTTGACTAGTTGTATATGAAAAGGGCTGCAATTGTCTCAAGTTTCAGTGCTTCAGCGTAAATAGAAATGGAGTTTTTTTTTTTCAACATTTTTTTACACATTTTCAAGTCTGAATAAATAAACACACGTTTCAGATATAATTATTCTGTGACACTTTTCTGACACATTAGCATATAATAAAGGAACTGTAGATAGATAATTTCCAAAACATCTTTAGTTTTCCCAATACAAATTTTCAAAGTTCCCCCCAAAAATTATGCAAATATGGCATGTTTATTGCTATTATAAAATCAATAAATGAACTTAGAGAAAAAAGCTATCTCCAAAATTTAAAAACATGCACTCTACATATACTGTGTAAGTTTCATGTAAATTGAATAAAAAATGAAAAAGTTATTTGAACGTTTATGTTAATTAAAAAAAAAGCAAATAATAAAGTCTAAGGTTCTAAAATCTGTGGCTGAGGTTGACATCAACCAATTTTCTCCAAAATTGGCACCCTTACAGATAGGCTTACATGCAGTCAGGTATATAAGTTTCATGCAAATCGTCCGATAAAAAAACAAAAACAAAAAATTTTTGAAAAAAAAAAACTATTTTTTTTTTTTAACTCAAATTTTTTTTTCCAATTAAACTAATTACAGTATAATATTTGTTTAATATATGCTATTGTGATAGCAAAGAGTCATAGATATGATTTTAGTTGACACTTTTGTTTGATAAACGTTTTTGACCATTTTGGAATAATTTTGACACCTACTTCAATATTTTCTTTCTCCCTTCCTATTTATGCTATGATGCTGAAACTTGGACCAGATGAAACACTTTTCATATACAATTTACCAAAAAAGTTTGATTGAAATCGAACGAGTTTTCATTTATTGCATTTTTGGGGCAAATTGGAACCTAATGCCCCCTTAGGGGCTTCTTTCCCTAGGCGACCTGTGAATACTGCCCCTGCGTGTTAGGGCTATCTTCCCTGGGGCGTTCAGGAACCATTCACATGGAGGTTCTTGCTGCTCAGCAATTGCCTCGCCCTTGGGGCCAGGTGGGGCTTGGGGCCCTTGTTTGGCCTTGGGTAGGGAGTGGTGTCATGCTGGTTAGGGCATCAAGGTGTTGCGGGACCTGCCACCTATGCGGGGATCGGTTACTGTTGCCTCTGGGGACAGTGTACTTTTGCGGGGTTTTCCTTTTCTTTTGTTTTCATTTGCCTGGTGGGGGGTCTATCTAGTGGGACAATATTTCCCCCTGATACTATTTTGGTGGACCTCTGCTTGGCCCCCATGATTGTATACGTCGTAGGGGTTTCAGTGATGTCCTCTATCCCTTGTTAGTTTGGGTGTTCGGTTAGCAACATTTTGCCTGGGCTTCCTGTAGTTGTTACCCTACAGGCCCTGGAAAACCCTATCGGAGCTTGGTAGACCAATGGATGCGTCTTCAGAGTTTCAACCTGCCTTGTGCGGGTTCGAAGGTTGCTGTGTGCCCTTGTCTCAGAGTGACAGTCACCTGTTTTGCCTCCATCATGCTGCCTGTTGGGTCAATGACACCTTTGATCTGAAGTCTTGCGAGTCGTGTTCTCTGCTTGTGCTCCAGTTATATTCTGATGATATTACAGTTAGGGTACTGGCAGCATCCGTGTTGCATATTAGGTTTAGGTTACTGCAACGCGCTATGTTGGTTTCCCACCCGGATGCCCCGCGACTGCCCTGCTTTGGTTATAGGGACCCAGACCTGGGGGCGTTAGTCACTTCGACTTTGGTTCTGTCCACACTCCCTCGTCCTTCCCCTGTTGTTCATCCTGCACCTCCCCTCCTGTGTCCGGCTCCCAAACATCTGAGGGTTTCAGTCGGCACAGGGTTTGGTTGGTAATGAGAATTGGGCAGCTTCAGGGGCTGCCCCATTCGGGTCGGAGACGGAGGCATTTCAGCTGGTTCATCCTGCCGAGGCTTCTGGGTCCCACCAGCAGGCCCCCTTCTTGTCTGCCTTTCCTCTGGACTCTGCCTTTTCTTCAGGGGGTAGAGGGTTTGGGGGACAGCTCTGCCCTGGGTCCCGACTAGGGGGATCTCGGGGCTGAAGAGGAGTCAACCTGGAGGCCTTGGGCCCCCTTTGACCCCGCTTGGGTGCTTTTGCCTTCCTTGCGGGGCTTATTGTTGCAGGGGGAGGGGGTTTTCTTACCCCCCTTCCCTGTATGAGTATGATTTGGGTTCGGTTACAGGCCCCTTTGGGTACTACGGCCCCGTCTTGCCATGGCTCCCTGCACCTATCTGAGGGGACCAGGTTCCAGCTCTGGGATGCCGGTAGGCCAGGGTACTGCACGATTAATGGCATCTAGTAGATGGCACCTACATCAGTCCTCTGGAAGTCTGGTGGCTGCTCGTAAGCTACCTAGTAGATGGTAGCTTCAGGAAGCCACTGGGGCTCACCCAGAAATTGGCATTTCATTACATTTAACAATGAATGTAACACAGGGCTCAATTCTTGCAGCAGTAATGTTCATTGCCTATATAAACGATATAACAGAAGGAAAAAAGAATTATATTAACATGTTTGTGGATGATGCTAAAATACTGGGGAAGATAGGAGATGCAGATGATTGTAATGCCTTTCAAATTAATCTATATAAAATAAGTGCTTGGAGTGCCAAGTGGCAAATTGAATTCAATGTGAATAAATGCCATGTTTTGGAATATGGAATTGAAGAAAATAGACCACACACAACTTGCAAATTATGTGAAAAGGAAGTACACACTCAAATAAAGAATAAAACTTAGGGGTGGTTTTGGATAGTAAGCTGTCACCTGAAAAACACATGAAGAACATTGTGACAGGAATATATGTGTTGCTTTCCAACTTTAGACTTGCTTTTAATTATATGGATGGCAAAATACTAAAGAAACTGTTCGTGACTTTAAGTTAGGGTACAATAAATATCCAGCATTAGTGTTATGATATGCTAATGTAAGGCAGTTAATTTCCAACACTTCACTGTTGGGAGTCAAAGTTTTTGAAGAGTAAATCATTCACCATATAAATTTATTGTTGTAAGTACTGTAGTTGTAAACATGTTGCTGAAAGCCATAATTGATTCAGCTAGTTCATTATGTTGTATTTAATAGCATCAAGGATTAGTTGATTGACTAGTCTTTCCTATTTTTGTTACAATTAACCATACTGCATAGAGTACTTGTACTTTCCATTGTCTACAGAAGCTAAAATATCCTAATTGATGAACTGAATATGCAGTAAGGCACTGTCCACCTGTATTAATTTATTGTGTTATCAATTCAATTGTTTATTAGTTATCTTAAATGGTTATCTTAAATTGACACACTCGTCTCTGATATATTTAATCCTAAATTTTGACAGATTATTTATTGGAATCTACAGTACCTGTGGTATGTTTAAGTAATGTGTGTGTTTCAAGAACATTACAGTATAGTCAATAAATAGTCAATGATTGTTTTAAATGACTCAACTACACGTTTCTTTGGCTTCCACTATAGAAGACTGCATTATATATTTTTCATATTCAGACTAGAGTTAATTATTTAACAATTTATGAATGATGATGACTGTTGTTAAGTAGTATAATATGGACTAGGTCACCTTGGGGGTGAGCAAGTCAATTTAGGGGTGAGTTTCAACATCTGGGTGCCTGACAATTGAGTGGACACCGCTTCAGATTCGTGGTCCTGAGGTTCAAGATCGATCCCCGGTGGAGGCAGAAACAAATGGGCAGAGTTTCTTTCAACCTGATGCTTCAAATCAGAGGGTCCTATGTAACAAATAGTCTGTACTTATCTCTAATGATAGCACCAAAGTCATCTTGCAAGAGAGGATTGAGTCAACTGCATCTACCAGGATCCAAAAAAACAGTAATTACCTAATTTTAATTATTAACTAAGTGTAGTTACAGGATGAGAGCTACGCTCGTGGTGTCCCTACATCCAAGTACTCTTTGTTGTATTGTTTAACACTCTGAAACTACTGACGCCTTTGGCCTCCAGCGCCTTCTTACTTTACTTGTTCCAACCGTCTACCACTCTGTTTGCAATAGAATACATTCTAATTTTTTTTCAGAACCTTTATTTCCTTAGCCTGAATCTGTGTCTTCTTGTTTGTATTGATGGTGGTTTCAGGAATTCCTCTTTGTCAATTTGGTCGATTCCTGTTAGTATTTTGTAAGTGGTTATCAAATCACCTCTTTTTAACACCTCTAGTTTCTTCTCATAACTCATGTTCCTCAGTTCCGGAAGCCATTTTGTAGCAAGCCGTTGCACTTTTTCCAGTTTCCTTGTGTGCTTCTTCTGATTTGGCCACCATACAACTGCTGCATATTTCAATTTTGGTCTCACAAAATTCATGAACAGTTTCTTTAGTATTTCACCATCCATATAATTAAAAGCAAGTCTGAAGTTAGAGAACAACACACAAAACGTTTTTTATGTGTTCCTCTGGCAACAGCGTGCTATCCAAAACCACCCCTAAGTCTTGTTCTTTATCTGAGTTCTGTAATTCTTTTCCACATAATATGTAGGCTAAGTGTAGTCTATTTTCTCTTAGTTCACATTCCATAACATGGCATTTTTAGGTTCAGATCGACGTAGTCAACCCAACCACCTCTTTCCTGCAGTATCTCCATGGCTCTATCATAAAAGTCACATTACCTTGAGGTTACCTTGAGGTGCTTCCAGGGCTTAGCGTCCCCGCGGCCCGGTCATCGACCAGGCTTCCTGGTTGCTGGACTGATCAACCAGGCTGTTGGACGCGGCTGCTCACAGCCTGATGTATAAGTCACAGCCTGTTGATCAGGTATCTCCTGGAGGTGCTTATCCAATTCTCTCTTGAACACTGTGAGGGGTCTGCCAGCTATGCCTCTTATGTGTAGTGGAAGCATGTTGAACAGTCTAGGGCCTCTGATGTTGATAGAGTTCTCTCTCAAAGTACCTGTTGCACCTCTGCTTTTCAACGGGGGTATTCTGCACATCCTGCCATGTCTTCTGGTCTCATATGATGTTATTTCTGCATGCAGGTTTGGGACCAGCCCCTCAATTATTTTCCATGTGTAAATTATTATGTATCTCTCCCGCCTGTGCTCAAGGGAGTACAGATTTAGGCTCTTTAGTCGGTCCCAGTAATTTAGATGTTTTACTGAGTGGATTCTAGCAGTAAAGGATCTCTGCACGCTCTCCAGGTCAGCAATTTCTCCAGCTTTGAAAGGGGCTGTCATTGTGCAGCGGTACTCCACTCTAGAGAGCACAAGCGTTTTGAAAAGTATCATCATTGGTGTAGCATCTCTAGTGTGAAAAGTTCTTGTTATCCAACCTGTCATTTTTCTTGCAGTTGTGACGGCTACTTTACAACTGCAAGAAAAATGACAGGAACAGCCACCTCTTTCCTGCAGTATCTCCATGGCTCTATCATAAAAGTCAAGTAGATTTGTTACACAGGATCTTCCTGTTCGAAAACCATACTGTCTGGCTATTAATGTCATTACTCTCTAGGTTTCCAACCCATTTGGCTTTAACTATTGTTTCTAGTGTTTTGACTACCACGATTGTTAGTGATACAGGTCTATAATTTAGAGGTTCCTCTTAACTACCGTTTTTATAAATTGGTACTATGTTTGCCTTTTTCCTTATACTGTATCTGCTAAAATTCCTGTGCACAAGGATATCTGGAATATTAATTGGAGTGGAATGCTCAGCTCAGTTGCACATTCTCGCAGCACCCAAGGTGAAGCAGTGTATAACAAATGAAGTATTTGAACTAATTGTGAAAAAATAAGTGGAAACAGAGTATTCATCTGGTTTGCTGAACAATTAACACCATCACCCCTTATGTTAGTGACAGAGCTTCATATATTGTTCTCTTACCTCCATAGCAAAAATATAAGACAACCCTGGATACCTCCCCAGGAATTCAGCTATCTTGAAGAAGATGTATCTAGAGGACAATGTATGCTACTTTTTTGTAAAGGGTAACCCTGCAAACACATAATGTAAAGGTCCCTATGATTCTCTTGATACAACTTGTAATAAAGTTGTTACATCTTGTTATAAAGTTTGTATGACATACAGAACGTTGTTACAACTTGCTATATTGGTTGTTACAATTGTTGGGTGTTAAACCTTGTTTGAACATTGTAGCAATGTCGTAGTTTTGTAGTGTGTTTGACGGGAAGATAGCAGTTATCTTGGTATTAGAAAAACTCAACATCACTTGTGAAGAGTTAAGAGAAAGAGGTTCAAACCACAAACTAGGTAAAATACATTTATAAATGTTCAAATATTTTTTAATTTTTAAGACCAGTTGTTTTAGCTTGGATTATACATTTAATACTTTGCCTTGCTGTAAAAATCTTGTTTATTTTATTTATTTATATTACAAGGTTCTTACATTCTTGTACAGCCACTAGCATGCATAGCATTTTGAGCAAGTCCTTAATCCTAATTTTCACACACATCCCCAGGAAGCAGCCTGTAGCAGCTGTCTCACTCCCAGGTACCTATTTACTGCTAGGTGAACTGGTCCATCAGGGTGATCTGATGGTGATCAACTCTGCCCAGTTGTTTCTGCCTCCACCTGGGATCGAACCCGGACCCTTAATTAGGACTACAAACCCAGAGCTATGTCCACTCAGCTGACAGGCTCCAACAATTTACAGAGTTTAGAGAGCTCTGCAATTTACAAAGCAAGACTTGACAGTTTCATTAATTAAGGAAAAGTATTGCTTGGAAGAAGTTTAGAATGAAGGCAAATTAATTTACTAGGTTTTTTTTTTTACTGGATTGAGAAATTTCCTGTGACTCAACACTTTTGGCTTACTGGGAATATTTGCAATGGGGTTATATTCAACCTGGCCTGGCTGTTGTTAGGTCATTACCTTGGGAGAGCAAGACATCACATAAGGTAGTAGCTGCATCACTTACACAAAAAGGAGAATTTTACCTACACTCGAAAGCCTTATTTATAGCCCCCCCCCTTTTTTTCCCCCCTAATTCCTTCATCTACACACTTCCACTTACCTCTTCCCCTTCTTTGCCTTCCTCTTCCTCAGCATCACCTAATGCATCTGCATCAGCCAGGTTATCCACAGCAATGGCCAAGAAGACATTGAGCAAGATGTCTGGTATATGAGTTAAGGATTGGTGGAAACTTAACACAGAATAATAAAATCATCTGGCATGACCCTTTTGACAGGGATACTAATAAGTAGTCAATGTAATATAATGTACATAATGACCTTAGTTTTATAATGCTAGCACCATTCATGAACAAAATATTAATCAACTCGAGTACTTTCAAGATACTGTATATATTTATAAACAATAGTTGGAGTAGACCATCTCAGATATATAACCTGACACAGCATTATGGCTAAATTTAGAAAAAGACCCATAAATGATAAAAAAAAAAACTCCTTACAATGCACTTTTCTGGGAGAGCTCCTCCTCAGTGACTTCCTGAAGCTAACCAAAAGGCTAGATTGAGGGAACTACTGAGGGAACCCACCAAAAAATAGGCATCTAATTACATTCAATGCTGGATTTTTAATAGAAAATTTGAACTTAAAATTACACTTGATGAAACATACAGGGGCTTATACTACAGTATTTACAATTTTCTTATCTCATTTCACAATAAAATTTACCATTTAAGTTTTGAACTTTGCTCAAAACTGAAACTATTTATCCAAATATTTTGTGTTTTTGTCTTACTAAACAAAGATACCATAAAAGCTCAACAATTAGAATTCTGTAACTTGAATCTCTGATTAATCGAAATGAATTCATGTTTGAGTGTTTACCAATTTTTTACCTTGTAACCCAAACAGGAATTCAGATTAAATGGTTATATGGAACATGAAACTTGAATAATTTAAAGTTCAAGTGCTTGACTGTTTAACCCTTCAAGTGAATGCGCCAAACAGGGATGATCGTGCCATATCTAATCCTAATACATGAGTCAATGAGTGATGATTTAAAGTACTGTGTAAGATTTAAAAGTTTGCTGTGTACATGGGACACACAAATAAGGGGGTATAATTCGAAAAATATTCGAATTATGTAAAAATTACTTAAAAATGTTAAACAAATCTCCAACTTATTGGCTTCAGCGTCGTGAAACTTTCATCAAAATATTTTCAGAAATTGATTTTAGACGAATATTTAAAAAAAAAAAAAAAGGTTTGTTGATAAAGAGAACAGCTCCTATTAACTGGAACTGATGGATAATGCAATAATAAAGAGATGCAAGCACCTGTCCGACGCACAAAGAAGAAGAATAGTAGTAAGAAGTGTCCACAAAGTGGATATACAGCTGGTGCCTTAGTAGCATTGATGAGTAATACATAATAACACAAATAATAATGAGTAATTATGTTTTTTATTCTCTATTTTTTATATATCATATAAATACATTGCCCAATGTTATTATCAGTTACCTTCAACAATGTCCAAAAAAAAAAATTTTCAGCGGAAATTTTTTTTAGGTTTTTAGGTTTTTTCCTTTGTTTATTATTTGAATTTGTTTTAACCTTTACATTCTGGAGAATGCATACTTGTCCCTAAATATGTGAAGCCAGAATTAAATTAGTCAACAAATAAATCAGTTACAACTCTCAGAACTTGGGACACTGAATTTTTTTTGGCTAATTTTTTCACAGATTTCAAAGACTATTTTCCTTGTTTCTTTAGGTTGTTTTCATGATTAGGGACAAAATTAGGGAATTTTACTTATATAAAGTATACCCTAAATATATTCCCTAGATCATTATAATTATTTGAATTATCCCTATACTGTATTTAGTTTTTTTGGGGAGGGGTATTTTTTCTTGACTTCATTTCTACAGACATTGACCTACAAATTTCACATACTTGAGTATAAATACCAAACAATGTTTATTAAAACATACAAGTAAATTCATGAATTAGAACTGCCTTATTCATTGTCGATAACTTCAACTTCAATTATATCTATAACTAGAATTTCAACTTACTTCAGTATCCAAAAATCTAGTTTCTGACCGATTCTCACCATTTTTACATATAGTGTGCACAGCTGTCTGTTCTACAATCCCTATAGAATTGATTTTTCATAAACTCTAAATGTTTGGAGTTATAAATTTTTGTTGTCTAAATTTGCGCATATTTCAAATGCCATATTGACAATTTTTTTTTACAGTAAACTATACTGAAAACCTATATTCTAAATATATGAAAATGAAGATCATATGCTATTCTGAGAACATAATAACATCAAATAAACAGTTGGTGATATTTTTATATTTTTGCAGCTGATTTCAAAATCTGAAGTTTTCAATATTCAATTTTATAATTATTTTTTATTTTCTTGTTTTTCAAGTTACACTGGTATCATTTAGACAAAGTTGGAGCATTTGCCTAGTAGATTATGCACAAAACATTTGAAAGAGTTTCAGAAAATTTAAAAAACTGAGTTCAATGTCACACATCATATGACATTTTGCGCAGTTTAAAGGTTAAGACCCGCTTAGTTGTTTATAATGTGTGTATGTAATGTAATAAAAGCAAAAAGTACGTTTTATTCTTAAAATAATATTGTGTGCATACTAGAAAGAAATTTATGTGTATGTGTCTATGTTCTACATGTTCTGTGATACAAATAGCATAAATAGCAAATAGCAAAACGGGGCCTGACCCTGTAAATGTGCTGGGTGTTCCAAGGCACACTCTATTCAACTGTGCCACGACATGGTAGTAAAAGAATTGCAACCTGGGATACATCTGCAGCCACTAGGATTCCTGAGGCTTCCAGTGAAGCAGAACCAGGGTTTCATATAATTCCCTGAATTGTGTATTGAAAGGGGTGTCATAGGTAGAATTACTGGACGACATAGCCTAAGAACATGGGGAATTGTTCGACTTCGGTTAAGGCCTCGGGAATCCTAGTGAGTGCAGGTGTACCCCAGGTTGCAATTCTTTTACCATAAAGTTGACTAGAGTGTGCCAATTATAGACCTGTATCATTGACAAGTGTAATAGTGAAAATATTGGAAAAAAATAATAAAAACTAAATGGGTAGAATAACTTGAGAGAAATGATATAATATCAGACAGACAGTATGGTTATCGATTTGGAAGATCCTGTGTATCGAATTTACTCAGTTTCGATGATCGAGACACAAAGATTTTACAGGAAAGGGATGGTTGGGTTGACTGCATCTATCTGGACCTAAAAAAGGCTTTTGACAGAGTTCCACATAAGAGGTTGTTCTGGAAACTGAAACACAATGAAGGGGTGACAGGTAAGCTGCTAACATGGAAGAAAAATTTTCTGACTGATACAAAAATGAGGGGAGTAATAAGAGGAAGTGTATTACACAGGAGAAATGTCACAAGCGAAGTACCACAGGGTTCAGTTTTTGCACCGGTAATGTTCATTGTCTACATAAACCATCTACTAGATGGTTTATGTAGAATTATATGAACATGTTTGCTGATGATGCTAAGATAATAGGAAGGATAAGTAACTTAGATGATTGTAATGCCCTTCAAGAAGACCTGGAGAAAAAAAGTATATGGAGCACCACTTGGCAAATAGAATTTAATGTAAATAAATGCCATGTTATGGAATGTGGAATAGAAGAACATAGACCCCCACACAACCTATAAATTATGTGAAAAATCTTTAAAGACTTCTGATAAAGAAAGAGATCTAGGGTAGTTCTAGATAGAAAACTTGTCACCTGAGGACCAATTAAAGAACGTTGTGTGAGGAGCCTATGCCACGTTTTCTAACTTCAGAATTGCTTTTAAATACATGGATGGCGAAATACTAAAGAAATTGTTCACGACTTTTGTTAGGCCAAAGCTAGAATATGCAGCGGTTGTTTGGTGCCCATATTTTAAGAAGCACATCAACAAACTGGAAAAGGTGCAAAGATATGCAGTTAAATGGCTCCCAGATCTGAAGGACAAGAGGAGAGGTTAGAGGTATTAAATATGTTAAAACTAGATGATAGAAGAAAAAGAGGTGATATGATCACTACATACAAGATAAAAACAGAAATCGAGAAAATTGACAGGGAAGAATTCCTGAGACCTGGAACTTCAAGAACAAGAGGTCATAGATTTAAACTAACTAAACAAAGCTGCTAAAGAAATATAAGAAAATTCACTTTGCAAACAGTGACAGAGTGGTAGATGGTTGGAAATTGTTAGGTGAGAAGGTGGTGGAGGCCAAAACGGTCTGTAATTTCAAAACGTTATATGACAAAGAGTGCTGGTAAGACGGGACACCATGATCTTAGCTCTCATCCTGTAACACTTAGGTAATTACACATATATGCACCATCTCTCCCACAAATGCAAGCTATAATCAGAGAAAATGTACCAGACTGGAGATATGTAACTAGCAGAGTACCTCAAGGTTGAGTTCTTGCACAGGTAATGTTTATTATCTATATATAAATGATCTACCGGAGAGAATAGCCAAGGCTAGAAGATAGGAGGAAAAGAGGTCATATGATCACTACATAAAAATAATAACAAGAATTGACAAAATTGTGAAAGAAAATTTTTTTAAACATGCAACTTAAAAAACAAAAGGTATTAGATTCAAGCTAAGGAAACAAAAGTGCCCAAAAAAACCAGCGTTGAATGTAATGAAATGCCATTTTCTGAGTAAGCCCCAGAGGTTCCCTGGAGCTTATCAGGCTAATGTATGTTACATTAGACCGGGACCTTAGCTATGGAGTTCAGACCTACCAGGGACCAGCGCCAGAACCTGGCCCCTTCAGAGAGGTTTCAGGGAGCAATGGCCCTGGAAAACCCCGTTGTGGTTGGGGGTTTTCTTTATCTGCCATCGACCGGGGTTAGGCACCCAGAAAGGTAGGCATAACAAAACAAACCCCACATGGTAAGAAACTAAAACAAAAAATGAACAGAGAGGTAGAAACTCCCTACAATCCCAAGGAAACAAGCAAACAAGCAAATATCACACTTTACTACCGCGCCAATTGTCCGCGCAGCCCTACCCACCCCGAGAGGGGGAGGGAGGGGCCCTGAACCTCACTGCGCCAGTTGCACCAGTTGGGAAGCTAAGCTTCAACCAACGCGAAAAAAAAGCCAACAGGTGGGAGGGAGGG